CTATGTCCTTTCTATATTGCACGTGCATACCTATGATAAAGTTTAATATGTGTTGGGCAATAATAAAGTAGAGCAATTATAACAATATGCTAGCGTCACTACTCTTGCACTTTGGGGCCATGATTATGTCAAATAAGGGTGACTTAAACACAAGCACTGAGATACTGTGACTGTCCTTCTGATAACCAAGCCAGCTACTGAGTGACTCCTGGGCAGGTAGTCTACAGTAAGCGTGCTCTGGACAAAGGGATGTTTCACGCCCAAGTGGGATGGTGTGTGATTTCATCACACTCCTCAGAATGGCACAAAGGTGAAACATATCCATTGTTTATTTCTGGAGTTTTTCATTCAATGTTTTCAGACTACAGTTGACCACAGGTAACTGAAACCTCAGAGAGCGAAACTGCGGACAAGGCAGGGACTATTGTGGTCATTTATTTCTGTATTTCTTGATCTGTTTCATGCCAGATTCGAATTCAGTTGCATTAGAGACCTGTGAGGGTTCCAATATTTTTTTTTAAAGATTATTATTAGTTATTATATCTTTTTGTGCTTGTTTCATTTCTCTTCCTTGGGACCCAAAGTCTCCAATATTTTTTAATATAAGAGTCCTGTTTCATGTTAAAAATTCTTTGAAGCCTTGCATGCCAGTAACAATGTTTCATATGTATTGATTGAATGAACATGACTCTTTATATAGAGTCATGAACCCCTGTAATAATTCCTTGGCCTCCCCCTACCCCTGCCTCCCAACCCCCCATCCCATGATATTTTGCTGAGGCTCTTAATCTATAGGATGTAATTTTTGACTCATGGTCGGTGCAAGGACATTAAGAGATTATCTGAGGACAGACTTTCTCATATGAATGGCCCCAGGAAAGCCTGGAGAGTTGGTGAAATTTGTGAGCTCATGTCCCATATGGTTGCATCCAGAATTTTTAGTTTTGCCAGGAGAGAGAAATGATAATAAATTAATTAAAAAATTGAGAGGAAAGAATCTGCCTCTGATCGGAAGTTTAAGAAGTGCAGTAAGGCAACCGCTGAGGGTTTTGTCAATCTAAAATAAAAAGGAAATGGATAAAACAAAAACAGTGGACGTGTGCTTAACCATCACGGCGAAGATTGCTTGTGTCTTCTATATTGCTATATTGTAAGGCTACAGGTGGTTAAAAAAAAAAGTAAGAATATATTTGAAGAAAACTGTTGAGGAGAAACATTCAAGTAGTTTCACCTCAAAAAAAGTGAAATCTCTCAGGGTAAAGATCCATTTATATTGCTCTGTTCACACTCACACTAGAATCACAAGGAACTTCAATGGGCAGTGGAATGGCAAAGGAGGAACAAAGGACTTAGCGTGAGACTGGTGTTTGAATTTCATCTCTGCGTCATAGCTTTTTGCCTTTGAGCTACTTATCTAACCTTTCTGAGACTGAGTTTTCTTTCTTTTTTGAAAAAAAAAAATAGTGTTTCTCTCTAGATGATGGGAATTAATGAAGACAATTTCCAACAAATGTTGAACCCACTAAATATACTATAGGAGAAAAGACCACCTTCTGTTTCTCAGACTTACTCAGTTGTACCATTGCATGAAGCTACATACTGGCAACCCTTTCATATGCACAGAAAAAGAAACAGATAGCAGGTATAAAACACAGGTACATGTTAATTTCCAGGCACATCCCAGAATAACTTGTTATTAAGCTGAACCCAAGTTCAGAGAAGATCTGTACCTGGAACAGTTGTTGTTATAACAATGAGGAAGGTCAAAAGACAAGATAGAAGACTTCCTCTTGATGTCTTTTCCAAAAGTGATTATCTCCTTGAACTTAACAACTGCTGGTTGCTTCCCTTCAAAACACTTAAGTTTGAGTTCCTTTATGTCTCTCATAACTGTGGGACAGTCTTCCCAACCTAGATTCTTCATTTGAAAAATGGAACTCTATACTCGCTCTATCTTGCAGGGTTGTTGTTAGGACCAAAGGAGACAACGTCGGTATAAGTTCTTTATGCACTAAAATGTACCAAACAAGTGTAAGGAATTTTCATCATTGTTGTAGGTTGATTGATCACCTTTGCCACCATGATGTGAGCCAAGGGCTCAGTCTCTCACCCAACAGAGAATGTCCATAGGCGTTTACTACACATTTCTTATGATTTCCCTTTTCTTTTCCTTTCGTGTACAGTTTGGAATTGAAGTGGTCTCATATTGAATGGTCACAGACTGAATATGAAGTCTGTGAGAATGTGGGCATGTTGCCCTTGGAAATTACCAGGAGGGGATATTCCATGGACTCGGCCTTTGTGGGTGTAAAGGTAATGATTCTAAAATGCAAATTATCATCTAAAACTTATGTTTCTGGCTAGAATCTTAATTTTTATTTATATTTTTCAAAGAAAAATTCAGAGTGACCAAGGAAATTTCAAAGCGCAGGGATGTCACACCATTCTGAAGCATCTTCGTATGAAATCTCCTTGCCCCTCCATACATCATCTGGGTTCATTAACTCCGAGATACGATTTTTCAGAGCTTATTTTTAGTTTTGAAATCTGGTCATCTGTTCCTATAAACTCTTTGTGTTTAGAAGTTTGATTTTGCAAGGAGATATAGTTAACTGAGTGAACTTGGGCCAAATTCTGCTTTGGAGAGAGTTGTATTTGCAAGGTATTCTGTAGGGGTACCCAGAGCAAATTTTAGTCCCCAAATGGCTTTCTCTTGGTATGCACCTCAATCACTACTCACGGCCTCAGAGGGTGAGGCTAATCACAAGACTGAAGCTATCTTTTCTTTTGAGCTGGAGACTCAGTCACCCAGGCTGGAATGCAGTGGCACACTCATGGCCACCACAGCTTCGACCTGCTGGGCTCAGGTGATCCTTCCGCCTCAGCCAAGTAGCTGGAACTACAGGCGCGAACTACCACACCTGGCTAATTTTTTTAAAAATTATTATTTATTGTAGAGACAAGATCTTGCCAAATTGCCCAAGCTCGTTCGAACCCCAGGGCTCAGAGAATCCTCTCACCTCTACCTCCCAGAGTGCTGGGATTACCGGTGTGAGCCACTGCTTCTGGCCTGAAACCTACCCTAAATTTTGTCCAACTCATGTTGAATTAAGAACACACACGTGAATACAGGTACTTTGAGATAGAAAGAACTTTCAGGTAATCTGTGAACTTGCTATTTCTTGCCATTGGCATGAACCATGAGATACAACCTACGGCTTCTAGTATTAAAAGATCTTTTAGAAGTCATTATAACAGTAGTGCTTCAAGGGAATGAGAGCGTAAAAAGTTTGTACGTAGTAACAATGGAGAAGGAACTTGAAAGCCTCTCCTCCTCAATCTGATGAAAAAGACACATATTAGTTTCGGGGGAAAATAGCATCTCTGTTAAGTCTCATTTTAATGATGCATTCAAATCACCCTAAAATTCCTGTGCACCTAAATTCGACCGTATCCAGGCTCAGGATTTCTCCCTTCAGAGAACACAGGCTTTTTTCTTCCAGATCTGTTGATACCTTAATTGTTATTAAAGCAGCATTAAGCTTGGTATGCCCTATACTTTTCCAAAAGATTGCTTATAGAACAAGAACTAATCTGCCTGAATTGCTTTCTAAAATTCCTCTAGTCCTCTACAGAAAGCACCATATGTTCTAGTCTTGGGTTTTGGGCCACACGACCACTTACCTTGCCAGGTAGAAAGAACATGCATGGTGTTACATGGAACCTTATGTCTACTTAACGCTGAATGCGCATGTGAACCTGCCAACTGAGTGAGTGGCCTTCATCAAACACAGGCCCGGGGTTTTTCAGTACTACTCTACCCTGAGCACAACCTGCTTCCTTACACAAGTACGGAACTGGCTACTTGACTAGGAACAGGGAAAGAGAAGGCGCTTTGACCCCGTGTGGTTTGCCCTGGTTTGAATTATGCACTTTTACCTGACTGATGTCACCAAGCATCTTGCCTTGGGCTGTTCCTTTTCCCACATAGGATTCTGTAAACTCAGTGGTGGTAAATATCAGGTAATTGCACATGCAAGAGCCATGCAGGGAAATGGAACTCTCAGCATATGGTGGGTACAGGTGTCCAATGGGCTGCCTCTTCACGATGAAAGGTGGTTGAGGGAAAACCTTGGCTGTGTAGACAAAGAACACATCGAAGATTAGGCGGTAATACCCTTCTTCAGCAAAATGCTTCCACTGCTGACCAACTAATGCATGTAAGGGCCTTTGATTTGAAGTGGACGTGTAGTCTGAGGCCATAGAAATAGGAATTTTCCAGCTTTTAATTATGCACTTCATTCCATTGTTAGGAGATGCAGAAGTATGTAATCCCACTTTCCTGAGCTTCTTAAACAGCTAAAAAACGTGCAAAAGTAACAACTGCCTATTCGGCTTGCACAGGGTTTTCTCTCAACGACCTGTCTTTCAAATCATCCAAGGACTCTTCTTAACGCGTATCTAGGAATCCTCTGGAGGGAATTTAAGGCCAGGACCTCAGAGCCCTCACATAGCCTTTTTGGTTTTTAGCCCTGGAGTTGAGCAGCAGGGGTGAAGTCAATAGTCTCCGTAGACTAGATCGATTCTTCGTTTTTGCAACTTACTAGTGGGAGTCTTGAAAGCCCTGGGTTCCGGGTGTGGATGGGTTTGCGTGGCTGCTCCCTGGGTCTGCCAGTGACACAGAGCTCTCCTTGGCATCTGTGGTGAGCGATAGGGTCATCCAGATGGGAAAATGGACCGGTCTTGTTTGAGTTAATCTGGTTTAAAGGCCCTCAAGCTGGCTGACCGATCATCGTGTGGGTTGTTATGAGGGCCTGGTTTTTCTTCTTCTCAATTTTCTCCCCCACCTTTCCTTTGAGGCACTATTTTAAGACCAAATTGGAGTTGGAGGAAGGTGAAAAAATACAATTAAATTGTCCTCGTATCAAAGAGAAAAATGTTTAAAACCCATGCTCCTTTCTCCGATAATTGAATCACTTATAAAGGAGAAGAAAAAGACAGCTTTTCTTTCCACTGATATTAGTCTAGCAAAAAGTTAACTTTTAGGAAAATCTGTGTAGCCTGGATCTAAAATGGTTTATTATAAGAAAAGCCTACTTAATATTAAAAACAGATTTAGCAGAGCATGAGTTTAGTCTAGCATAAGGAGAATAAATGTTTCTCTATTATATGATATTTGTTTTTATTTTAAAAAGACATTTTTTCCCTTCTAAGGTCAACCAAGTGTCAGCTGCAGTTGGAAAAGATTTCACCGTGTCTCCATCTAAACTGATTCAGTTTGACCCAGGTACATGTTGTGTCTACAGTTTGTTTCGTTTCGTTTCTTTTCTTTTCTTTCTTTCTTTCTTTCTTTCTTTCTTTCTTTCTTTCTTTCTTTCTTTCTTTCTTTCTTTCTATTTTTTGTAAGCAAGTCTGGAGATTGTGAGGAAGAAAGAATATTATGCAACTCCAGCCAACTAGAAACTCCTCAGGGAGCCATTTTACCCCACTCTAAAAGAGATGAATTTGGGTTTGAGGTTTTGCCCTCATTATTTTTTTATAATGAGTGAATATTTATTGCAAAGAAGAAGAAAGATCAGAACAAATGACAGATATAAAATGTCAAAGCAAACCTCCAGAAAAAAATAAGATCATTTAAAAAATTATTTAAAAGTCTGACACAGAGCTATCATAATTTAATTGCCTCACATTTGTTATGGAAATCTTTGAGAATGTTATATTTACATGGATTCCTAAAGGACATTTCTAGATAATCCTTGGAATAGGATGATATGCAAAGATTCCAGGGGAAATTGTTATTTAATTAAATATTAAATTATTAAATGACATTAAATTATTAAATTAAATTTAATTATTGAGGAATAATTATTATTTAATTGTTTCACGTGTGGAAGGATTTTAGTAGGTGCAAGAGGGAATGCAAAAGTCTGGCACCTGCTCTCAAGGGTGTTCAATTGTGTGGGAAAGATAGACATGCAAACACCTACTGGGACTCACAGGGTGAGCCGTTGTTCTGGCTAAGAAAAATCATGGATGACTTCCTAGGGGAGGCAGTATTCTAGCAGGCAGAAGAAGGAGGAAACTGCAGGCTGAGGGGATAACTCCAAAGCACCAACACACCTTTGGGGCGCTGTGGCTAGCACAGAGGCTCTGCCTCACCTCACTACGTGGTTCTCGCTAAAACTTTCTCTAAGGTTCAGACTGGACCTGTCACCTGTCTAGGGGCAAATCCCAAAAGCCTCAGAGAAGCAGACAGGGCTATCACGCAGAGGAGATGTTCTGGCCTCTGAGACTTTTCCACCAAGTCTCAACTTGACTTTGTTTTCCAGTAACTCAACGTTTGGGGCAAAGGCAAAAGAAAACGGCCTGAATGCCATTGCCACACCAAGTCGACAATCTCAATATTAAATGTAGAAAGGAAATACCTTTCGGCAGTTCGCCACAAGCAGTGGGATGTTTGGTGACTAATCGTTTCCAGAGCTGCCATAGCCAAGTATTAAAAACCGAATCGTTTAAAAAATGGTCACTGAGACTCTCATGGTTCTGAAGGCGAGTCTAAGATCAAGGTGTCAGCAGGTTTGATTCCTTCTGTAAGGGAGAATCTGGTCAACGCCTCTCTTTCCTGCCTCTGGCGGTTTGCTGACAATCTTCGGCATCCCTGGGCCTCTGCGACAGTCCCTTAGTCTCTGCTTTCCTTTCCACAGGGTTTCTCCTTGTGTGTATGTCTGTGTCCCCAGCTGCCCCTTTTATAGAACACCAGTCGTAATGGATTGGGGGCCCACTCTCTTCCGGTGTGATCTCACGTTGACTGATTCCACCTGTGATTATCCTATTTCCAAACAAGGTCACATTCTGAGGTGCTGGAAGTTAGGACGTCAACATGTGAACGTTTGAGGGACATGGTTCAGCCTGTAACAGAGAGTCTTAAAATTCAACATGCAACAACCCAAATATTATTGCCCTTCTTTCTTCCTGTGGGATTCAATTTTCTAGCCTGGATACGTTGGTTCCTCAGGCCGACCTCCCTTTGTGGGAAGAGCTATTCTTGCAGTGTCACTTTTTACCCTCACACTGCGATGGGCTGTGTGTGCCGGTCAACCCTACCAGGAAAGGATGTGATGCGTTTACACGTTTTCTGGACTTCATGTTAAGGCAACTTCAACCTTTCCATTTCTTGAGAGTCAAGTGTCTTTGCCATATGTCATCCCTTTTATTTGAAATCTGTTCGTTACAAGATCGGAAGTGATTTTGATTTCCAGTTGGTTTGGAGCTGCCCATCGGGTGCTCTGTTTGGATTGATAGGAACTAGAATGTATCCCACGGGGGGAGGGGGTGTACCTCTTGGAGATTCCACTGGATAAGATAAACACCCATTTGTCTAGAAGATTGCTGCTGCTTTGAGTAGATACTAACTACTTCCAGGGACTCTAAATAGTCTTATGATTTTAGAGATTATTCAGACATTTTAAGAAAATATAAGCATATCTTATGAATTAAAAAACAAAAACTTGACTAGTAGTTGTTTTGGAATTTATTAACCCAGTAACAGTTTTATAAACTGAAGTCTTGCTTGAGATAATTTTAAAGTTCCCCAAGTCCACAGGTCCAATAAATGTTTACTCCTACCTTGCTTATTCTTGTCTCTTTGGGGTCTGATGTCTACAACCCCACTCCTAATCCCTTTTGCCCAGAGCAACCTATTTCTTTCTTTTTTTTTGAGTCAGAGTCTTACTCTGTCACCCAGGCTGGAGTGCAGTCATGACCACCACAGCCTCAACCTGCTAGGCTCAGGCGATCCTTCCGCCTCAGCCTTCCGAGTAGCTGGAACTACAGGCATGTACCACCATGCCAGACTATTTTTGTTGTTGTTGTTGATTTATTGCAGAGATGAGGTTTAACCAAGTTGCCCAGGCTGGTCTCCAACCCCCAGGTTAAGGCGATCCTCTTGCCTCGGCCTCCCAAAGTGCTGGAATTACAGGCTTGAGCCACCATGCCCCACCTGCAATCTATTTCTTTAAAAAAAGCGGCTTCCCTGAAACAGAGAGTGAGCAATCAAAGACAGTGGGATATAAGTTTTGAGAACTCTTGGGAGGGAGCTGAGAGAAAGCTTGCCTTGCAGCTACAGCTATTATACCAACCACTCTCCCCCGCAAAATAAGAATCCTGGATACTATTGTGACTAATATTGAGAAGATATGTAAATACTCTTAAGAAAATGATTATTTGCTTTTAAAATATGTGTTCTTGCAAGGTCTGCTGCATTCTTTATTGAAACCTCATCATTCCTAAGACTCAAAATGTTTTCCAAGGGAACAGATTCCTAATGTGGCATTTACTACAAAAAAAAAATTGAGAAATTGTCTTTCAATAGAGAAATCTACTTTGCAGGAAAATACCCAGGAACTTGCCTACTCTTTAAAGTGAAATATGTCTGCATAAAATAACACCGTCTCTTTCCTCTTCAGCACCTTTTGTTTTGTGGGAACAGGGAGCCAGCTCAAGCGTTCTGAAAATGCTTGTGTATCTCAGGGACTTAACAAACACTTTGCACCTTGAAAGTGAAAAAGGAGGGGAAAAAATGATAAAGTTCTTACTTCCAATCTCATTAACCTAAACAGTTGGTCCCATGTGCACACCTGGTAGGCATAGAAACAAAGCTGAAACGGAGTCAAATCAGAAGCACTTAAATGAAACTCAAAATAGGTTTTCTCTAACCATCTGGCTCTACTCCATAAGGCCCACCAGAAACTTTAAGGGTTTTGGGGGCGGGTAGAGGGGAGTGTCCTATACTTAAAAAAAAAAATTCTTAAAATAAGAGGGGAGTAGAAGTATTTTTTGTATTCGATTTGATTTACAGAATGCTTAATTTTATGGTCTTTGGGAGTCAAAAAAGTTCTCCAAATACTGACAGTCTTCAAACTCGTGTGCTTTCTTCATTGTCCACCTCTTATCTTTTCATGCCATTTTATTGCAACAGCTGCCTGTAAGATCTCCCAAATCCTAGCCTCTCTGTCGACCTGCCTGGTTCCCCAGACTTTCACACTCTTGGGTTCATTTTGGTAAAGCATCCACTTTCAGTGTGTCACTTCTTTGTTCAAGAGCCTCCCCCATTGCGAATGGTGTAAAGTCTGAATTGGACCGTGTGGTGTCCAGGGCTCTCTGCAGTCTGACCGCAAACTTTCTGTGCAGCCTTATGCATCCTGTCCACTGACCTCCCTCTTCCAGCCAGCTAATCACTCAGCCTTCCTTTATGAAGGCCTCTCCTTGCCTTTGTTTATGTTGTTTTTCCATTTGCACCTTCCCGATCCTTCTAACTCTGGAGCCCACAGACATATAGGATATGCCGTCTATTCTATATCTTGGGACAGCTAGTCCTACATAGCTTTGAGTGATTATTTGACTTTTCTGGTGTTTGTGTCTGTCTTTTCCAAGATATTTTAAACTCCTTTAGGTCAAGGCTTGGCTCATGTGACACTTCTAGTATTCTCCATAGAATCTAATGCACAGGTGAGCACAAAATAACTCCCAAATATGTATTTTTTTTTTTTTTGAGTTGGAGTCTCACTCTGTCGCCCAGACTGGAGTGCTCCCAGCCACTGCAGCCTCGACCTGCTGGGCTCCGGAGATCCTTCTGCCTCACCC